CTCTCACAAAGTCACTATCCCATTATCTGTCAGGACACAAATGTTGATGTACTTCGACCAGTGAGTTTGCATTTTCCCCATTACCATGTCTTACTTAACCTAGAGCGGTGGTGTGAAAAAATTTCAATAATTGTGGGGAATAACTTATATTTAAAAACCATCCTTTACTGCCACATATTGTTTTCTTTTGTGTTTAAAAACGAAAACTTTGGTACTTAAATCCCGAATTAAATATGCCAACTTGAACGGAAAAAAAGCGTGGAAATTTTCATCAACCAAACTAAATACTAAATTTTTAATTGTTTGGCCAAATTAGACATAATTTAATTGAATAAAATACAATATATATGGTGAATTTCATAGCAAACAATGGCCAAATTCATAACCAATTGCTACTAAAATTTGTGTTGTTATTTTATAGTTAATTAGCCACTTATTGGCAAGTGGCAACATACATTTGATATTATTAATGTTTGGATACATTACATTTTGTATTATAAACTAATACAATTTTGAATTATATATAAGATTTTGGATTTGCACAAAAAATAGATATTGAAAATTTAGGAAACGTACAGACAGATGTTGAAAACTCTCACAAGTTCTTCAAAACTTTGCTAAGTTCTTAAATACATGGTACAGCGGGCAAATGTACACATAACATTTGGATATATATACATGGTACACAACAGCGATCAAATACTATGATAAACGAACGTCAATTTAATTTGAAAGTATAATGTTAATATCTTTCTTTTATAAATTGTTAAAAAGGAATTACAAGATTAAGTCAAATACTTCTCACTAACTTCTTATAAAGAAAAAGTTCTCCTGATTTTTAATTCAGGTTTCGTCTTTCACTTTGGTGTATACTTCTCTACCAACCTAGGTTGGTTTTGTCTTTTCTTAGCCGGTTCCCGATTTTTCTTTTAAAATCAGAACCGAGTCTCTGTAAAAAGTTCTCTTTTCATTTTTTTCTGTTTTCTCTTCCATTCCCTCTTTGATTTCAATGGTGTGTTTTCAAAGTTTCTGAAATCTTAGATCCAAATTAAATTGCGGAATGAAGTACTAGTGTTGTTTTTAATTTATAAATCGTTAAAAATGAATTACAAGACTTAGCCAAGATTCTTGGCTGAACAGACACAAATAAAGTTACGAGTTTTACAATAGTCGATTTTTTTGTTCATTCTAAAACAATGCTTAATACAATTACACAAAAAAGAAATTGGACTTCTAGGAACTTTAGGGAACGGGTATATATAATCGTCATATGAAACCTCTTCATTCTTTACATGCATGTCAATTTGAGGACTCTCAGCCACATTAGAAGAAAGAAACTTCTGTGCTGAATTAGATTTCGCCATAATATTTGATACGCCTATAAAAAATATCGAATAATGCAATCAATATAAGAGCATAAAATCTGTGGGATTTCTTAAATTATCTTACAAATTTAACTTACGTAACCGAGAATAAACTTACATGATAAAAAAATAGTTAGAAAAATGAGAAATAAAACTTTCTTCATTTGTTCTGAATCTTCAATGCTTTTAATTTGTCTTTTTTTTTTTCGAGTTTTGGTTGTGAAGTCATTAGGACTAGATAGTATCATATTTATACGGTTTCTTATTTAAGTTACAGAAGAGTTGCCGTTCTCATCAACGCTTTTGTTAGAAAATTTAGGTTAGAAAATTATACTCTATTAATTAAAAATAATAATGTGAAAGTAAAAAGTATTTATTATATTTATTAACTAGGATCGGACCCGCGGTCCACTGCGGGAGAATATTGGTTTACATACGTTACGTTTAATATTGTGTGTGTTTTTTAGTAGAACGAATCGTGTAGTATACTTATAAATATTCATAATAACGAATTGTAGAGAAAATGTAAAATTATAAATATAACCATCGTATTAATTATGATTTACAAAATAGAATTTTGTGTTTTAAAATTCTAAAATTAGACGATTTATGGGAATTAGAGCAGTCAAAATAGGTCAAAAACCGCGGGTCGAGCCCACATCATCTCACTATGGGGCAGATTTGGGAAAATATATTAAATCCGCAAATAAGCGGGCCACATGGATTAATTCGCAGTGGGTCATAGGTTTAATCGGTTTTCATCCGCGGGTTAGCGGATCAGCCCGCATATTAGTATTTATTGATAAAATTATAATTTATTCAACATGTGGTAATTTAAACAAACTTTTAATAGTATTTTGATTTATTTATTTATTTTAGTAGTATTTTAAATTTTGGTTACTTTAAAATTATTTAAACAAAATCCATGGATAATCCCGCAAATCCGCATACATTCGCAGGACGGGTTTGTATTTCATATATGCTACCCGCGGGTCGTGCAGACCGACTAACTACAAGTCAAAATATTTTTTGTCTATCGCAAAACAGACTTAACGGGACGAATCAACTCGCTTTGACAGTTCTAATGGGAATATTATTTAGTCATACAATAAAATGAAGTTTAGACATAGTAAAAATAGAATATGTATCTTATTTGTTAGATGAGAGATTGAAAGATGAAGTATAATGATTAAAAATTAATTATTATTTTTCATGATTCACAAAATTTAATAAATACTTATCATCTTGTTGAATAATTCTAAAATCATATTCAAGAAATCTTTATAAATTGAAAATTAAACTTCTTTGGTAAGCTATAGGTATGAAAATATCATAATTTCGATTTAATCTAATTAAACTAAAATTAGTTACATGGATTTCATATCTATTTAATTTACACGACCAAAATAAAAATATCTATTTAATTTACACGACTAAAATAAAAATATCAATTTAATTTATAAAACAGATGGGTTATTTGTGATAAATTTTCTAGAAATCTTTAGAAGCAAGTAAAATATCTTTCAATTAATGATAATTGGCTAAAATGAGCGAAATTAATGACAAAAACGTTGATTGTTATGGAATTAGTCCCAAAATATACGAACAAATTTATTATACGTAATTAATGTATAATATTGTTTGGAATATGCTTTTATTATTAGTTACCATAAGTACAATCAGATTTTATTTGATTTCCATAAATATTTGATTTTATTTCGATTTTTTATTATTATTTCGAATTTATATTTCAAAAAATTTCAAAGATCCGATTTCAGAATTTCGGGTCAATTTTCTGATTTTAACCCGACCCATTTTCTTTTTTTTTTTTTTTTTTTTTGGTGAGTACGAGGGAGGCAATGCCTCCCCTTTTATTAATTAAAAAGAAAATCAAATACAAACTTGGCGTGGAATCGTAGTTCCACGCTCATCGTCTAACAAAATCGAGGAAACACAACTAGGCATTAAATCGAATAAATGAAAACCTAAAGGTAGAGAAAAAGCATAGTTGGCTAACCCGTCCGCAAGACAGTTAGGTTTCCTATACACATGCGAAATCCGGACTATCCAGTCCCTTGATATGAAGCCATGGCACAACCGTACCAGGAATGACAAGGGGTGAGAGTCACCAATCCCTGTTGTAAGAAATCCAACCACCATCTCTGAATCCACCTCCAACTCCACACGAGGTGCCCGTCTCTCCCATGCCAAATAAAGCCCATAATAGACCCCCCAGAGCTCTGCCATAGGAGCTGAACAAATCCCAATATGAAGTGCAAATCCCGCTTGCCAGGCTCCCAACTCGTCCCTTATGACCCCTCCAGCCGCAGCCACACCCGATCCATTTTCATTAGTACTTCTCTTTTAATAGTATAGAGATTACCAACCAATTGGTTGTTTTAAGATGAAACGTACAGTTGATCAAAAAAAGAAGATGAAACGTACATTATTCACTGCAAGTTCCTTATTTTTTAAAAATACTAGAGGAAATCCGGGCTACGCCCGGTGTACATTTGATATTTGATATTTTTAAATTGGTTAATGTTGTTTTAATTTTTATTTAGTTTCTTTAGTGAAAATGCGAAAAAGATACTATTAATTGTTTAGTTTTACATATTTATCATTTCCACATTAATTTTCATTTACAAAATTAAGTAGAAGAAACTAAAAATTAGTGTATATAGTATTTTCATTTATCTCCCGTAATTTATTTTCCATTTGTCTCTAATCATATTATTCCGTAGTTCTATATTTTAATTTTATCTTATATATTAATTATTTTATGGTTTCTAAGATTAGATTACTATCATATTAGTCCATATAATAATAATTTAGCTAAACACTATTGAGATGGTTTTCTATGTCAAATAATCATAATAATTTCGTAATGCTAAGTTCTAGCGCGGGTTATTTTTTTGTGTTTGTACTTTGTACTATGTTGATAGGAATTAGAAGGTTATTGCCTCGTCCATTTTACCTGAGCTTTAATTCACCGTGAATATACTACAAGTTAAATGTATTTTGCATCTTGTTACCCATCTCGCTCCTCCTGAAAATGTTTTCGTTTCTTTGATGACCCTTTGTCACCTTTACCAATAGATACTCATCAAACTCAACCCCTCCCATAAGATCATCTAACTTAGGTGATTTAGTTCTCTTTATCCACCAGCATAAAAAACTCATAAATGCTCACATACTACACATCACAATGCAAAAATAGAACAAAAATGTTAAACAAATAAAGATTTGGCATCAATGATTATGCATAATTCAAATGCTTTAAACTCTATGTTCCTAATCATTGATAGTTTGTTCTTAACTAAATGAATAAAAATGTAGTAATTTTGCAGTGTTTTACTACTTGGCTGTCTCTTATCTTTCAGCAGCACCTCTACTTCTTTTCTTTTGAATCCTGAAAGAAACAATTATATTGATAAACAATTGATTTGTATTATTAGCAAGTTAATCGATGATGTAGGTAGGGCCTAATGATTCACATTTACAGCTTGGTGAAAATATAATATTAGCTCATCATATTAAAGATTCGAATACGTATGTGTCACTTTTATTTTCGACAATCTTTGTGACTTGCAAAGCATTATTCGTCTCCTTCAGATTTTTCCATGCTTAAGAATCTGAAAAAGTTAAGTTCCACACATGGCGACTCTTATCTTTGTGAAAATCTCCCTAATTGACAATATTTTGCACTAAAAGAATGAAATTCTAGAATTTCAAGAATAACGAAGGTCTTTGGAAATTACTTTTGGTTGCAAATACGAAAACCTTACACAATTCAGAAAGTGGATCCATACTGTAGTCATCTTTGCTGCCGTTGACGTCCTTAATAAATCCTTGCAAGATCTTCTTTCGCGTAGTCCTTTTATTCCTGCAGATATATTGTTCTAATACCATAAATAATCTGAATTTTTGTTGGAAGAGAAAGTGGAACCATACCGTAGTCGTCATCGATAAGCGTGACGAATTATAAACTGGAGATGAACGCTAGGGTTCTGTGTGCAGCGGCGTTTCGAGGATCGCAAGCCTTGTCGTTTTTCATGCCTTGCGGGTGGACGGTGGTGATATATCGATCTAGATCTCCCATTAACGTGACTATTCCCGACTGTTAGCCTTCAAAATCAAAAGGGAGAAAATATTTCAAGTAAATTTGTTACATAGTTTTAGAGTTTACAAAGGAGATTGATTGTTAAATACAGAGAAGTGAGAAGTCAATACGGTAATGATATGAGTTAAAATGGAAGATGCGATTAAACGTGTGAAAGAGGATGTGGGAATGATTTATCTGTGAATGTGGGAGTGCAAGTGACTCAAAACGGACTAACTCAAGGAGAGGGAGAAGAAAAGTTTTGGTTGCTCTTCAACGTGTCATAGACTGATTAGTGGTTCATTGAAGATGTCACATGGTAACACGACGTTTTAGTTCATGGGCTTTGAAATGGGCCATAAACTCAATTCATTTTCTATCTCGTCTTCAAATGTTTGTTGACGTGGCTTCCTCTTAGGTGAGTTTTGTTTTGCTGATGTGGACACTCTTAGAAGCCTCAATTAGTTCCTTTTATTAGTAAGAGATGTATATATAGTTAGATTTGTAACTTTAATTGTGAGTTACTCTTAATTTTAATTTTAGTTTTAATTAAAGTAAATGAATATGCTTATAATTAAATTAAATGAATATGCTTATATGCATGAAAATCATCTTACCCGTTATCTATACCACTTTGCCACCAAATTTATCTACTTCAACTATTATCTAAAAGTTGGCTATCTTCATAAATAACTCAAAATCAGACATGTAACAAAAACAGGAAAAGGGCTAAATGGAGTGTAATATTAAAGTGCATCAATATTGTGTTCCTTGTCTTCTCAATTTATTTGCATATGTACTCTTTGTTTTTGTAGGGATGGAATTCAATATTTGATGTTGTTTGTAACTCTCTTTGTTCCTAACCATGGTTCTTAAAATCGGCCTAAACGCCCGACTAGGCACTCATGAGGGTCCATGCACCGCGATTTCTTTCTATTCGGTGACGCAAATCGGTGGACCGGTTCAGGTGGTCTTTTTGGTCATAATCGGTCTAGATGGTGCAATTATTGGTTTATAATTTGGTTAAGTTATATTGAATTTTGCCTCGCTAAAGAAATGAAGAGAAAAATAAGAAAAACTTGAAAATAAAAAAGAAACTAAAAGAAAGTTTTTTAAAAAAATATAGCTTATAGCTTATTGGAGATTGTTTGAGTTTGAATTTGAGATTAAAATATGAAATCTTTATTTTTCAGTGATTTGTAATTTTAATTTAACTAAATTAATAAGTTTAGTAATTTCGCTTGAAATCATCTTACCCGTTATCAACCATTTTGCCACCAAATTCATCTATTTTATCTAAGAGTTGGCTATTTACATAAATAACTAGATTTTAACTCGCGGTACACTGCGGGATGATTTAATTTTAAAGTTAGTATAAAAATATTTTGTAAATTGTATCTCCTTATAACATATTTATTTATATTATAGTTTACAATTGTTATTAAGTAACAGTATACCACGAGTCCACGAGATAATTATTAATAAACTGAGGATTTAACCCGTATTAAAGCGGTATATAAATATTGATTCAAATTTGTCCGCCATATAAATCATTTCCGAAATATAACCCGTTCCGTAATTTCTTAACCCGTCCTGTGATTTGTATTAAAAAAAAAAAGGATTAAATCCGTATTGAAGCGGCGGATTAATGATATTTTAATCTTTTTATTATTGTTGATTCAAAAACCCGTCCCGCCAAACCCATCCCGCCAAAAAACTCATTTATTTTATTAATGTTCTTATTTATGATATGATTCTGAATCATTGTCTAAATATTTTAATCGATGTAGAACGTTGAACACACATTTTTGTCAATTGGATAATATATGTTCGTTTTTAAAATTTCGAATCACAGTATATGCAGAAAAAAAATTGATTTTTTTTACTTTATATATTATATGATGATTCAAAACAGTTAAAAACAAATCAAACAAAGATGATAGGAGAATCATAATTATAAATCTTAATCAAATCTTCTAAAAATCTAAATTATTAAATATGGAATATCCGGTGTATGAGTTGGGTTAAATATAACCCGACCCAACAAATTTTTTATGAAGGAATTTTTAAAATGGGTCGGATATCCGATATACCCGAAAGTTTTTTTACCCACCCGTCACAAAAAGTGTTGCGATTATACTAGTATAGACTCATAAACTAGACATACATGTCTTTAGCCACAAAGACCGTTATCTAATTATAATAACAACCAAGGTCGACACTTTCTTAGTGACCCTAACTATAAGTAAAACAATCTAAGATTGTTCAATCATTTGATATCAAGAATCAAGAACCAATTCAGCAGGTTAGGAGATAGAGAGAGATATAAAATAAAAACCTAGCTGCATGATTCTTTCTCTGTCAGTAGCTTAGATGCGGTTGCACATTTCCGTGTGGATGACCCCACCCGTACGTTTTCAGTTTATCCAGCCCCGGCATCTGGACAAGGTTAAAACAATTTGTGAGGTGGTATTATTGCAACACGGAAAACTCTAATAAACCTGGAGTTCTTTCTAACATGATACAGTTGCTCACGTAGAACGAGCTCAACCTTTTTTGTCAACAGATCTAGCATGGATTGATTTAGTCCCTAAGCGACCATCCACTCTGATGGTGATCTGTAGACTTGGAAGACAAGCAAAATCCGTTCGTTAATCTTTGAAGTTGTTGTCTCCTAGATCAATTTCCTTAGAGACAATGGAATCAATTCATCAAATAGATTGCAAGAACATAAACGTGAAGTCTTCAAGCAGCTTAAACCGTTTAATGAGAATGTAAGAGATAGATCAACAAGAGAACTTTCTGTCTTTCCATAAACTTTTTTCTGCCATAAAGAGACAATTCTTTCAGTTGATTACTCTGAGACGGATATGCCTTAGAGTGGTAGAATCGGCTTTAAGAGTTGTCAAGGATTCCAATTCACCTAAAGCATCGATATCTCTAGCTGAATAAAAAAATAAAGTTAAAATTCAGGAGGACCAATAGAGAGTTAACTTCAAAACCTTATTTTCTTATAATAGATAGATGTCTTTTCCACATAACGACTTAGGTTAATAAGATATTTTTTTCAGAACTCAATGGAAATACATGGGGCTTTGTTTCCTGACAGATAACGGAATAGATACGACGTGATAGCCATCGGTCCATGTTATACTCCCAAAGTAGTAGATGGAATTGCTCTGGTGAGTAGTGGAGACTGTAACTTCAAAGCTCAGCTTCTTGACAAAGCAGTTGAAAACCAGTAGGGTGGGCGTGACGGTGATCTCGACACCCAAAGGAGCTTGAATGATGACTCTATATATAGAATCGACTGGTCCAACGTTGGTGACGGTTCTAGTGACCGTCACGTCTGCATTGAGGAAAGGGATGGTGATGGACGGGAGGTTAAGAGCAAGCATCGATGGCCTAGGGCTAGGACAATGATACATCATACTTTTCTTTGCCATTTTCCCGATGGAGGCCTCCTCATACCCGGCAGCACATAAATATCCCATGTAGTCTTCTGCGTATGCGTCGTACACGAGACCAGGATCAGCTGCTTTGGTTGGATTCCCCAATCCTCCTCCGTAGTCAAACGGATCGGCTAGTTTCCGGCTGTCTCCTTCCGTGAAGATCGGTTCTCCGTAAGGATCAGTTTTGGAAGCTTAATCAATTGAGAAGAAGAAACTCATTAGATCACTATGTATTTACATGTAACATAATCAATTTTAAAGAATCCCTTAATATTACCAGTAGTAACGAGAGCAGAATGAATAGCCGCAGGAGACCAGTCACTATGAACAGCTTTGAGGAGCGCAACCACACCGGTAACCACAGGAGCGGACATCGACGTTCCAGACAGAGCAATGAAACCATTCTCGGCGCCTTCTATAAATGGGATGCTAGCAGCCAAGATATCTACACCTGGAGCTGCTATATCAGGCTGCAAATATTACGTTGGTATATATGAGTTGATGAATATATACATATAGAATTGGGTGTATATGTTTTAGAAACACAGATTAAGTTGTTACCTTCAGAATGTAAGGAGACAGAGAGTTTGGTCCTCTACTTGAGAACTCAGCGACTTGAGTTGCTACAAGTGGACCAGTGAGTCTTATTTCAGTGCTTATCTTAATGGTTGGCAAGCTGTGATTCCAAAAACATTAAGCAATGTTAACTTCACATGCAAACTAGAGATTATAGATAAATAATAAGTACGTATACCTATTGGAACCTATGTACTTCATCATCGTAGTTCCCTCTTCATAGTCGATCATGAATAACACCAGTTCACGTTTGTCATATCCGATAACATCAATGCTTTTGGAGGAAATGATTAGAGCTGACAATCCCGCTATCAAAGCCCGATCGACAAATTCTCCAACAAAATATTCACTCTCAGTCAAGAAAGCTAGGACGGCTTTGCCCTTGGCGGCACTCGTTATCTGGTTGTAGCTTACTACGTAAATTAGATCAGCTTGGAATTCATGTCCCTTGTACTGGTTTCTTGCCTACAAAGTAAAATATTGTATTAGAAGAGATCACATGCTCATGTTGTTGTTAAAGAAGATTCAACTACGTACACAAAGACAAAGAGTTATGTTTTACCAATATAGTTATGTTGTTGCCTAGTACCAGTGGGGTAGGAAACGACCGGTCGAGAGTTGTGGCTGAGACAGTAATTACCCACGGAGGTACGTTACTGACTGTGTAAGCTTGGGGGCCGTCGTTTCCGCCGGCACAGATCACCGGAATGCCTTTTGAGATGGCATGGAATGCCCCGTAAGAGATCGCATTATGCTCGTTGGATTCAGGGAGTATAGGGACGGACCTGCCTAGTGAGAGCGACATCACGTCCACCCCGTCCTCTATCGCATCGTCCATGGCTTTTATAATGTCCATAGCCGCGCAGCTATTTTGATTTTGCCAGCAAACTTTATAAACAGCTATTCGAGCACTTGGCGCCCCGCCTCTTGCCGCGCCCACTCCGAACCATTTGTTGCTCACATTAGCGACGAATGCACCTCCAGCTGTGGAGGCCACGTGTGTCCCGTGACATTCACTATCCCTTGGTGACATGTATTCCTTGGCCTCCGATTTTGTGGTCTCCTTCTTGTTCAGTTTGGAAACCGTCGTAATAACGTGTGACGTTTAAGTATTTTGACATTACTTTAACAAAAGACGTTTATTTCTATGTCTAATATTGACTCTGTTTAAGTAAGTTTAGAGAGTGTTTTATGTGACACAAAAATCAAAATCTCTTTTTTTTGCACAACCGATGTAAACTGATGCAAATTATTTGCTTTCAAAATATTGTAAGTCAGTTTTGATTGTGACGTTCATTATTCGACGTGTACCAGCGTTTATCTTGTAGTTCTTGAAGTCTACAATAATTATAAAAACATGGAATAAAGGGGTTATTGGTTCATGGATTTATAAGGAATTAAAAATTCAAACAAAAATCATTTGTTATTCAATCATTGATTTTAAAATCCTAATTAAAATCATGTGTTATTGGTTCTATGATTTATAAATACTAGTTAAATTCCTATATTATTGGTTTAGTAATTTGTTTTTGGATTTGAGAATCCAAATTATGTTTTAAATGGATTTGTATGGAATTGAAAGAGAAAAATAGAAGGATTCAAATCCATGAGTAAACACATGTTATTTCAAAATCTATATATCTTGATTTCATAATTAATAGAGATTTCCAAATTCTATATGGATTTACAAATTAATAAACCAATAACATCCCCTAAGACTCTGCTCTGCAATTGACGCTGCTAATGCAACTGCAAAAAAGGAGAATTTAACTCAGCAAAGAGAGAGAATTTAAATCAACAAAGAGAGAGATATAACCAAGTGTTCTTAGTCTAGTGGTTGCCACTTGTGGAGGAGTTGCCCTGTTGGTCTAGGCCAGAGATCGATTCTCCGCAAGCGCGCAATTGCTAGATCTCCACTTGGCCACATGGATATGGGCCCTTGCTTTCGGCCCATTTGCATACCCGGAGAGAGAGTCTATCTGTAGGCTGCACCTCCCCCAGGGGATTAGTCTGGGCCCCTCCATAGGTCTGAGATTCCTCTGAGTTATAAAAAAAAAAAAACAAAGAGAGAGGGTAAAATGATTAAAAGAAAAAAACGGGAATAGAATAAATTTATATCATAAATTCTAACTACCAGTTGTTACGTAATTTCCTCTTTTGGAAATTCTGAACTCAATTCCATCTTTTGCTTTATTTATTTTTATTTGATATCACTACAAATATTTATAAACTTCGAGGATAAAGTGGTTGTTTTAGAAAGAAAAATAATCTAGGTAAATTATATTTTTCAGGATTTTATGTTTATGCATTGGTGTTCATTAATTTGTAAATATAATCCTGTTCGTAAAAGACTACTGTTAATTTTATGGTATAAAAAAATTGTTCAATTTCCCAACACCAAAATATTATTTTTTTGGTGTTCATTAATTATTGGCTGTAATCATGATTGTAAGCTAACATTGTAAAATTTCTGTAAAAATTTAGTCATGAAATATTAACGTCCAAAAATTTCTGTAGGAATTATGTTTCAATAGTTACCTGAATGCTGATATCAGCATATTTCCTTTTACCCAACGTTATTTTTGGGTGTTGATACACACAAGTAAAGCGAAAAAAGCTTGATTTTATTTGTTGTCTTGCTGTCTCTTTCAAGAAATTCAACTTGAAGTTGCACCATCATTACACATCTATCGTTAGATTAGAGGTTCGGAGATAGATAGGGTGGACGAATAGATGACTTCTTTAGTGTAAAAATAAAAAAGAGAAAAAAGAAAGAGGTTCAAATTAAGGAGAGGTCAGAGTAGACATGCTCATATTCTTGGCCTGTCATTATTTCATCAAAATTCAAATTAAGGAGAGGTCAGAGTAGACATGCTCATATTCTTGGCCTGTCATTATTTCATCAAAATTCATTATAATTTGCTCTTTTTATCATTTAATTTGTTCATTATAATTTCCGGTTGTCCCAAACAAAAAAAGTCCATTATAATTTCCTAATTTACTAACATTTCCCTTCATCTTGTTTCAATGTACATCCCTTTTATGGTTACTTGTTCTGCTACGCATGATAGATACGCCTTCACAATCCAAAGTCAAATAGGAGAGTTACCATTTTTAACATTTTAATTATATATTTCGTTACTTTACTTTCATTTTTTATAACTGCACTAAAGTCATAAAACTTAGTTTGTATAAAGTTATAAACTTAACCCAAACATGCACCAATTATATTTACAACATTCCTAAATTTAAAATTATTGATAAAAATCATAGAAGCTTAGTATTTTTGAAAGCTCATCATAAAGAAGAGCTGAAATTAAAAATAAAGTTTTACCAAAAAATTAAATTAAGTTAATTACAACAGTTAGGTTGTAATCAAGATGATTAAAAATTATATTTTGTTTAGACGGTGTTATCATTCGTAAAATAATGTATTATTACAAATGAAAATTTTGATATTTATATACTATTAAGAAAAATTCCAATAATCCCTACAAATAAAAAACAAAACTTCCAAACAATTTTTTGGATACCCGTGAAGTTGGGCCGCAGCCCATTCGTCTCTACGTGTCAAAATGAAGTGATTTTTTTTTTCCTTCTTAATAAATGAAGTGAAGTGAATTTCGATGATATGATATTATGATTGTTTATTATGAGTATCTTAAATTTGGAGAAACTTAACCCAATTGTTTTTTAACTAATATTTAAATAATATATATATATTTTATTATTTATTAAGAATCATGTTTAGAAACCCCTATTAAGAATGATCTAATTGCCGTATTGATTGATGGTTTCTTACGTGTTAGTCTACTGAGAGGGAAATGGCCATTATGATTGAGCGATCCGTTGCTCATGTCTTTTTAAATGGTCCAAGTGATAAGTAACCTTTATACTAAGGCCACTTTATACGAAACCAAAACGAAGGATGCATCCGGTATTTAGATTATTGTTGATTTTGCTTTTTTTTTTACCAAAATCTTTTGAAAATCCCATTTTTACAAAAAAATTATTGATTTGTCATTTTTTAACACTTAAAAATGTAAGTATTTACGATTTTTTTTTACAAAAATACGTACTTTATACCAAATACTAAACCCTAAGAACAAATGGAACCGACTAAACCCAAACATAACGGATAAAACGCATGTTAAATCACTCTGAAAAATGGCAAAATCCACAAACTATTAAAAAAGGGCAAAATCTACAAATGCCATTAAAAAAATGGCAAATCCGTAATTGATTCTCCGGTATTTGGAATTGGAGTGTTCCAAAAAATTTGAATTAAGGATTATTGTACACTTCGAACTTACCAAGATTTGTAATTTGAAGCTCATGTTATGCAGTCCTAAACGTTTTATTTAAACTTAAAGCTTTAGGGGGTGTATTCAACTTAGTATTTTAGAAGATTTTTGGGTATTTTTAAAGTCACGTGTTATTGAACTGGATATTTTTAAAATAATTCTTAAATCTTCTGTTATTGAACTTGATATTTATATAAAGTCACTCAAAATAATTCACAATCTCTTGTTATTCAACCAACAATTTGTAAATATCAAATCAAATATACTGTTATTGAAAATTTCACTATTTTTTCATAAACGATTACTAAAACTGATTTTAGGAGACTTTATACACTTTTTTAGTTGAAAAATATGACTGCAAAATCACATCTCTATAGGTGAAACTTTGAAAGACTTCCAAGAAAAACAATTGTATCGAGAAAAAAGTAGAGCTATTGACCAAATTTATTTTCACTCTATTGACACCTCTCGAAGTGATAGTTTTCCATCTCTTGTCTTCTTCCATTGAACTTGCAGTTCCAGGAACAATCGCATAGATAATTGAAGGATTTCGCGTCGCGTCGCTCCTTGTCACTCTCTCCAATTGCTATCTGCCAAAATCCTTTGATTATTTTTGGATTTCTCTTGAAATCTTTCGAGAGTTCAGATGTCGTTGAAATCACAACTAGCTAGTTCTGTCATCACACTCTCTTCTCTGCATTCTCTAAATAACAAAGAAAAGGCTTCTTCTTGTGTCTTCTCTGGTGTTCTTATTTACAGAACTGGGTTTTGATGCTTCTTCGGTGTGTTATTAAAAAAACCAGTTTTGGGATTATATGATTGCTAGTGTTCTGTTTTTGTTAGTCTTTTTGAGTAACGAGCTCTTACTTTCTCTTTTATGTTAATTTCCTATGCTTTTTTTTTTTGTATGGCATGGCAAATCTTAGCCAGGTAGCCCCATTAGACTCTTGTGAACTCTTACCGTTGTGTTTCATGTGCTATTAAATAAGGGCATTCTGCCTAATCTCCTGCAGGTGTTAGGTTCTATGATACCAATGAGGAGGAGCCTCTGTTAAGTTCTATGATGTCTTTACAAATTCGAGTCCATGCCATTAACTTGCATGCTTTACTAAAAATTTGGGTGGGAAATTGATCAGTATGATTCTCTTTGCAGCCACATGCATGTTGATTTTAGATTGAAATTGCATGGTGGAGATCTCATGAAGAGAGTTGCTAGCGCTGATCCACGGGCTGCACCATTAAAATAAGGCTCAAGACCTCAAAGACATACACAAAAAGGCAACAGACATGTAAAATCAACAGTCCCAAGCGTACTTCTCATCAATCAAATCCTCTTTTACTCCAGAACGATAACAACATCGAACATGAAAAATTACTTGCTTAGAGAATCACAACCTCGGTGTATTAAAATCCCAGCTTTCTTGTTCTTTTTTGGTGTTGAGTTCTGTTACTTTCATATACTGTTTCTTTTGGATTTACAAAATCCTCACCTATCCTTATAGGAACATCTGTAACTTTTTCATATATTATCTCTTGAAATAAGTTCGTAGTTATTTTATCACTTTTGCTTTGCAGAATATATAAAGCAATGAATGAGAAGAAGTCTACAAGAGGCTTCATGAGTCAAACAATTGAGGAAGTCCATGAAGATACTCTCTTTTCCTATGTGCACTTCCCCTTCACATGTTCTCGTAAGAGATAAACGTATAAACAATAAACTTGAGAAAAGCTTTGTCTCCTCTTTTTTATGTCTCCTCTAATTGCAGGTTTTCATTGATGGGAGAATACATATGCTGAATTCGTATAATTGAGTCATGTACTCTTCTTTGCTCGTTGAGCTATTTCGTGTTTGTGTTTTGTCATTGTGAGAAAAGGGGCTAGAGCCAAATTTTCTTTTGTTTGTTCTAAAATCACCCAAAGTTTGATAATAAAATCTCACCAAATCACAAATCATTATTCTTTTTTTACATTTAAAAACTCTAATAAATAATCAAATTCCCTAAAAACTCACTCAAATTTCTCAAAAATCTAAAATATTCAAATTCCACCAAATCTCCTAAAGTATCAAGTCGAATACACCCCCCTAAATCACTTTCGAGTTCTACCGATTTCTTTTACAAAATATACTAGTTTATTACTCCCTCTGTTTCAAAATATAAGGCGTTTTAGCTAAAAACACGCCGATTAAGAAGATCTACTTTATCAAAGTTCAGCAAATTATAAAAGAGACTGCATAATAGAAATAATCATAAAATATTAAAGTAATATATAATTGATAAATTGTTAAAAATGCCCTTTTCTCAATACCCCTTTTCAAAAATGCCCCCTTTGAGAGTCCATTTTTAAGTTTGCCCTCTTTTAATTTTTAATGACCATTTTACCCTTATTTGAAACAAAATTAGGTCAACAAAATACAAAATATTTTTTGGCGGGAAAAGTGATCCCGCAATTTTCCCGCCAAAACACTTGTAAAAACCTTGTAAATTTTTCCTGCCAAAAATTTTTTTTTGCGGGAAAAGTGATTCCGCAATTTTTTTGGCGGGAAAAATTTACAAAGTATTTTAAAGGTTTTACGGAGTATTTACAAGTGTTTTGTAAGGTTTTACAATGTATTTTAAAAGGTTTTATAAGATATTTATAACTTGTAAAACCTTATAAAAAACTTGTAAAACCTTATAAAATAGCTTGTAAAATCTTATAATATCTTATAAATACCTTATAAATACGTTGTAAA